CCACCCAGTGCAGCGCTTCGTGGTCCATGGGGAGCTCCACAGACGGCCCCAGTGGCACCGCCCCCAGGGGCACCGCCCGCATGCGCCACGCACCACCCAATACAGAGCTCCGTGGGCCTGTAGGGGGCCCCACCGACGGCCCCAGTGGGACCGCCCGCATGCGCCACGCACCAGCACAGCGCTTCGTGGCCCCATAGGGAGCTCCACCGACGACCCCAGTGGGACCGCCCGCGTGCGTCACGCACAACCCACTACAGCGCTGCGTGGCCCCATAGGAGCCCCACCGAAGGCCCCAGTGGCACCGCCCGCATGCGTCCCGCACACCCAGTGCAGCGCTTGGTGGCCCCATATGGAGCCCCACCGAAGATCCCAATGGGACCGTCCGCATGCGACGCCCCCACCGAATACTGCGTCGCGTGGCCCCACAATGGCCCCACAGAAAGCCCCAGTGGGACCGCCCGCGTGCGTCGCGCACCACCCAGCGCAGCGCTCTGTGACCCCGTAGGGACCCCCACCGAAGGTCCCAAGGGGACCGCCCGCATGCGCACCGCGCACCCAGCACAACGCTTCGTGGCCCCATCGGGAGCCGCACCGACCAGTTATCCCAAGGCGAGCTCCACAGACGGCTCCACAGGTAAAGTCCACATGCGTTCCCCCCACCCAGCACAACGTTTCGTGAGTGGCAAAGTCCGCATGCGCCTCGCCCACCCAGCACAACGTTTCGTGGCCCATGGGGAGCTCCACCAGAGTCCCCAGTGGCAAACTTCACATCCGTCTCCCTCGCCCAGTGCAGCGCTTCGTTGCCCCATAGGGAGCTCCACCGAAATCGATGTCCATAATGGCGGTACTCGCAACTACAGATCCGCGTTGCGAAACCCAATGCTTATAATGTGTGTGCACTTGCTCTGCATGAATGAATTGACAAATCTCACGTTCTTGCAAACATCCCACCCACCCACCCGCGAATTGGTTTGCAAAACCCATTCGGTGGCGATTGCGATGCATGCTTGGCTTTGGCTGGTGCATCCCCGCGGCCGCGCTGGCCCGCGCATGCTCTCGCGCGCGCCAGCCAGCTAGTTTGGGGGGGGCGACGCGGCCAGCGCTTCCCAGCGGGCACTTCAGTGCGAGTAGGCGACTTGGGCGGTCGCGGTATCATGGCGAAGCCGACGACTGTAGAGGCGATCGTGAGCATGCCGATGACGGCGACAACGGCGGCGATGACGACGGCGCGGCCAATGACGGCGCCGACGTTGATCACGCCCGCCGATAATGATGGCGACGTCCTCGCGTGCGTCGGCGATGGAGGTTTTGAAGGGGTTCGAAATGCGCGCGCGGCCGACGCGCGCGAGTAGGCCGCGCGGCATTATTGGTGGCGGATCGCCACCCGCCTCCCCCCTAGCGCGCGCGAGGGCGGTCGAATGAGGTCAGCGTGCGGCGCGAGGAGCCCGGTTGGCAGAATTGGATGAACATGTTGAAAGACCTGCGGCTCTCATCAGAATCCGCGCAACCACGGGCGCGGCCTTCTTGAGAACTGGCGCGGCAAAACAGCGTGCGCTTTTTTTTATTGGTCGGTCTTTTTTTTTTCTGCGTCGTGCTTTCTGAAGCCCCTGCGAAAGGTAAGGCGTTGAGAATGGCGCGCGGCGCGGCGCGAGCGCGGTGGCGCGCGCGCTCAGCGCCCCCGTTTTTTTGGGGGGGATTATGGCGGCAACGCGCGCGCATAGGCGCTCGAGGAATCTCGGCGCGCGCGCGAGAGGCCAATTAGGCAACATATTGTGACAATGTTGAACAACAAGAACGGTTTACGGAAGAACTCGCAAGAGCGCGGCAGCAAGCTTCTCTTGAAAAACCCGTCGCGAAGCCATGTGATATCTGTTTTCGGGGCGCTCGATTTTGACATCCCCGCGAAACCCATGGTGTTTGAAAGATTCTGCCGCGCGCGCGCGACGACGCGCTCGCGTGCGCTTCGTCGCAATTTTCGCGGGGGGGAAGGGGGGTGGCCGGGGCGAAGGGCGAACTACGGTTGGGCTGGGACGCCGCGCACTCATTTCGGATGGGCGAGGGGGCAGAAACGTCTGAACATTGAATGGGGGGGGATTCTCATGCTTTTTGAGGAATGTTCAAATGAATTGACATGTCCACGCCCTTGCAAACGCCCCGCCCGCCCGCCCGCAACTGGGTCTGCAAAGCCCACGCGGCGGCAATTGTAATGAGTTCCCGTCGTTGGCTGTCGCGTCGCCGCGGCCGCGCTAACTCGCGCGTGCTCGCGACCGACGCGTCCGCGGCGGCGCTGGCCGCCGGGCGCTCGCCAACGGGCATTTCAGCGTGTGTCGGTGACTTGGGCGGGCGCGGTCTCATGGTAGCGCCGAGAATGGTAGACGCGATTCTGGGAGCACCGATGATCGCGACGATGGCGGCGATGACGACGGCGCGGCCAATGGCGGCACCGATGTTGATCACGCCCGCCGATAAAGATGACGACGTCCTCGCGTCGGCGATGGAGGCATCTGAAAGCATTCGAAATGCGCGCGCGGCCGACGCGCGCGAGTGGCCCGCGTAGCGCCATTTGACGAGGATCGCGCCCCCCCCCTCCCCTCCCAGCGCGCGCGCAAAGGCGCTCGAATGAATTCGACGCGCGGCGCGAAGAGGCCCGCTCGGCATAATTCGATGAAGCTGTCGAGAACCCGATGGTTTCCTTAAGAGTCTGCAAAACCACGAGCGCAAGCTGTTTTGAAGACCGGCATCGCAAACCCATGCTTTTTCAAAAATGTCCGGGACGCCGATGATTTTGAACGCCTTGCGAAACCTAAGGTTTTTGAAGGATTGCGTCATGCGCGCGTCGCGAAGCGCGCGCCTGCGCTTCGTCGAATATGTTGCAGGGAATTCTTGCCGCAGCACGCGCGCAAAGGCGCTCGCGCAATTTCAACGCGCGCGCGAGAGGCCAGTTCGACAGCATGTCACATCGTTGAACAACAGAATGGTCACGGGGGAATTCGCAAGAGCGCGGGCGCAAGCTTATGTTGAAAACCCTTGTTGCGAAACCATGTGTGCTGATCTGGTTTAGGGGCACTGGGTCTTCAATTCTCAAAAGCCGCCGGCTTCTGAAATATTCTGGCACGCGCGCGCGACGACGCGCGCGCGTCCACTTCGCCCTTAGATGTTTCTCGGCATGGGTTCGGGGAAACACGACCGAATTTTGATGCGCGAGTGCGAGCGCATGACTTATTGCAAAAAGTGAAGGGGGGGGAAGGGCGATCTCTGGCCTGGCTGGGGTGGTACAAATCCATGTCTAAGATGGGCGATGGGGCAAAACCATATGCGCATATACGGAGAAACGTGCACTGATAGATAACCGCGGGAGGGGGGCGAGGGCGGGGTAGATCCTAATAGCCTTTTAGAACGGAGAACCTATGTGGTGCAAACTACGCGGTGAAATCGACGCGGTGACATTAGCTGTTGTTCGCGCGGAGCTGTCAACTCCACTGCCCGCGCAATCACCCGCGCCACCCGCCCGCATCTTGTTTTGCAAAACCCATGCGGCGGCGATTGCGATGAATGATCGGCGCTGGCTGTCAACTCGCTGCGGCCGCGCTGCCGCGCGCGGGCTCGCGCGCAGAGCGGCCATAGTCCGGCGCGGAAGGCGCGGCCGCGGCGCCGACTATCGCGGGGGGCTGCCCAATGCGCTTCGCAGGCCGCGCCGGCGCGCGGGCTCTTCAGCGCGCGTTGGTGACTCGGGCGGGCGCAGTATCATTGTGACGTCGACAACGGCAGACGCGCTGATGATAGCAACGATGTTGGTGGCGATGGTGACGATGACGACGACAAGACCAATGACGGCGCCGATGCTGATTTCTTCGAAAACGACGATGGTGTCCACGTGTCGGCGATGCACACGATTGAAGACTTTCAATGAAATATTCCGACATGCGCGCGCGGCCGACGGGCGCAAGTGGCCCGCATGGCAGTCGCTGGCAGGGATCGTCGGCCCCTCGTCAAGCGCGCAAGGGCGTTCGAATGATTGCGGCGTGCGCTCGCGAGAGGCCCGCTTGGTCCCATCTGGTGGACAGTATGACAAACGCTTGGTTTTCATACAAACTCGCAAACGCTCGCGCGCAGATTGCTGGAAAACCGCGCCCCTAATTATTTTGTTTTTATTTGTGTCCGGGGAGCTTGATCTTGAGATCCTTTCGAAACCTAGAGTGCTGGCAAAATGTCCGCATGCGCGCGCGACGACGCAAGGGCTGCGAGGAAAAAATGAGTTGCGCAAAACGAGCGCGCGAAACATTTGTCGTCGGGGACGAGGGGGGAAGGGGGGATGGGGGGGGCGACACCCCATTAAGTGGAATGGCTCGGATTCGCAAGTTAAATCAAAACACGGGGCACGCTCACTCACTCACTCAAAACACCATAGTGTCCAAAGTTCCCCAAGACAAAAAAAATGATTAAAGCTCAGGATCCCAGACGGTGCTCGCTCGATTGGGCGCCTCCGTGAAGGGCGCCGTACACTCAACCGTTGATCGTGAGCGGCTCGGCTAAAATAAAGGAGAGCCCACTGCCCAGCTCACCTCCGACCGCGGGCGCGGCCATTGCCGCCCTCTCGTCCACGGCCGCGAGCCGTGAAAAGGGGTGCCCGGACATCCAAGGAGGAGGACGAGGCGGGGGAAGGCTCGGGAGGACGAGGGCGAGGAGGGGGGTGAGAGATGACTGGGGCGCCGGTTTTCCCGAGGTCGGACGGGCGCAGTGCGGCGTGAGCCTCAGAAGTTGGCGCTGACCTCGTCGCTGGCGCCGGCGCTGGCGACGGTGGAGGCGCTGGGGCAGGTGCGAGCGCAGTAGTCGGACACAGGAAGGGTGAAGAGGATGTCGCTTCGAGCGTGCATATCCCCGTTGCAGCCGTAGTGGCCTTGTGCCGTCACATGGACTCGCCATCAATGGCGGTTGCGTTCTCATCATCATTATCGGCGGTCGTCGCTGGCCCCCGTGTCTGTGAGCTGCGGGTGTCCAACTGTCGTCCGTGATCGCATCGAGCCACAGCGCGAGCTCGTCCTCCCCGAAGCCCTCTGGAGCTGGTCCTGCGCACGCTTCTTCTGGGCATTGTGCAGCGCTGTCATGGTGCCCTGGCGTATCTCGTGATCCCTGCAGTTGAAAGGGGATATTCGCCTGGCCGCTCTTGAAAGCCTTCTCGATCTTGCAGATCGGGAGCGCGTCCTGCACCTGGTACTCGTCCATCTGGTTGAGCTTCTCGATGGACTGGTTGATCTGCTCCTTGCTCTTCCCGCCGACGTCGAGCGTGGCCAGGCACTCCATCATCTCGAGAGCAGCTCCAGGTGCGAGGGGCCCCCTTGCATGTGATGCTCCTTCTTTGCGCATCGCCTTTGCGTAGTTGCGGTTCTCCTTCTCGATCGCCGCGGCCAAAGGGTCCGAGTCGCTGACCCTGACCGTCGTGATGATGCACCCCTGGAGCTCGCGGATCTGCTTCGTGTTCTGGTAGGTCGCGCGAATGGGCGCGACGATGAGGTTCTTCAGCTCGTCTGACATCTTGGGCTCGACCTTCGCCTTGGACGTGGCCCCCCGTCGGCGACGAGCACGGGCGACTGGGGCTTTCCTGGGGTCGAACTTCGCGCCCTGGTCGCCCTCTTCGGCCCGGTCGTTCCTGGCAGGGTCCCGTCGGTCACGGCGTTCCTGACTGCGTGGCCCCCTTCTCTGGCGCCGCTGCCGCCAGGCCCAGACGCTGGGGGTGGGGCGCCCGTGGGGGGCGCCATGAGGCTTTCATCGCTGTCTCGGCCACCGGCGCCGCCGCCGCGGTCACCGGGGGCCCCGAGGTGCGGTCGAGTGGTCGAGAGCGCGTGTAGACGTAGCTCCTCTCGAGGTAAATGGCAACGGGGGTGAGACCGAATCGCGCTGTACTTGTCGAAAGTCTCCTTGCAAATGGGGCACTCGAGGCTCTTGGGAGGTATGATCGGATATGGGGCCCAGGTCTGATCTGTTCAGCACGCGCGTGCTTTCCAAGCTGCTGCGACGTTGTTTTGCGCTCCGATGCGAGACGAGAAAGTCGCATGATATCTGGTGCACTCGTCCGTAACCGCGAGCTGAGCTAGAATGCGGCACATGCCGTGTTCCCCTCCTAGTGCGAGTCCCCTCTGATGTGCGCGCAGTGTTCGTTCGGACTTCCAGACGCTCATGCACGGGCCCCCTGTCAATGTTTTTTAGCCAGCAGGCGTGCCGTTCGGCCACCTCCGAAGTGGCCAGCTCGGACGGTAGCTCGGCGGAGGCGCCAGGCGGCGCGAACGCGCGCCGAAGGTGGGCGGCCCGCAGGATGCTCACGTCGATCCCGCAGAAAGCCTCGGCAACCTCGGGGTCGGTGAATCGCCCAGTCCAGCAGCTCCTAAGGCTCCGCGGCGTCGTAGGACAATAGGTTCTGCAGGTCCGTCGAGAGCTGTCTAGCGATCGGGCGTGCGTCGGGGCTAATGCAGCCGTCGTCGGTTAGCGCGCGCGGTGCCGCAGGCAGGTCTTGTTCGCGGAGTAGATGTTCCAGTCGTAGTCCCCCAAACAGTGCGGACACGAGGTGCTGGGACTCATCAGGGAAGGCGGCTGCACATTGGAGTAGTTTGCGTCGTCGTACTTTTAGCTCGATCCAAGAGGTTACCAGATCAAATCGTCTCCAGATTGCAGCAGCAGGTAGGGATTTGTAGCGATCACGGTTGCTTTGGCATCCTTTGCCCTGCAGCATGGCGCGCGGCTTCTTGCCCAAGCACACGTCCAGCATCTTGTAGTCGCTCGCGTAGAGGTGGTAAGTCTCGGCGGCGCCACGCCGCGGCTTGGAAGACGAGCCGTTTCAGTCGTCGCGGGGCGCGGCTGAACCAGAAGCGGTGGTACTGGCTCCATCCTGCACTGGCTGCTCGTAGTCGTGCTCCGCGTTCTCCATTGAAAGAGCCCCTGCCGTCGAACTGCCTCCCACGTGCTTCATGGCTGCCAGGCGCTTGCAGGTGATGCTAGGCTCGGCGAAGAAGGCGCGATGCAGCGTCTTCGAAGGGGTGCTGTGAACGATCTCTCCCCCTTGGACACAGTCAGTCCGGATCCGCCACGGCTGAGCGAGCGCGTGAGCACCTCGAGGTCGCAATTGATGATGTAGGCGAGCGCCTGGACTTCGTTGACGGTGGCGTCGTGCAGCTGGCCGCTGGAGTCGACTGCCCGACGCCGAGGGCCGACTCGAGGTGCGACGTGAAACTTCAGAACGTCATCGGCGAATACCTGGCGGCTGAGGTCCTGCACGGGGCCCTCGGGGTCTAAATCTGGAGCGCAGGACTGTGGCATGATGCTGGTGGGGGTGGCCTCGGTCTCTTGTCGCCACTCCTCAAATTAATGGTTGTCGGCCTTCATGGAGGCGTCGGGTTCGTTGGAGCGGCCCACGAGACCTCCCTCGCGGTTCCTCAGGATGAGCGCGCCGTCGTTGGCCTCGATGATGGTTTGGGATTCGGTGCGGCGTCGGTGTACGAGTGCTCGGTCGTCGGCACGGAAGGTAGGCGCGACGTGCTCGTTGATCGCGCCATGGCTGGTGCATCCGAAGGCGTTGCGTCCATCATGTGAGCGTGCGGCGGAGGCAATGTTTGCCCGTCGTGGCCTGCTGGCCATCACCCTTGTCGCGAGCGTGCCGATCTCGCGGCGGCGGCGTGGAATGCCACCGCAGGCGTAGTTTAGCGGGCGCGTAGGGAAGCCTCGTTGACGTAGATGCCGGTAAAAGCATCTCCAGAAGACGTCGAAGCAATGGATGAGGAGGAGGCCGAGGGGCCCAATATCGTTCTGCCCTTGTCGAGCTGGACGCTCTGGGAGGTGTTGGCCTGCATCGGGGCGCGTTGGCGCTGTCGAGCGCGGGCCTGGGCAAGGCTGGCAATCGACCTAGCCGGTATTATCTAAGTAGCTGGGGTTTCCGTCTGGGTGATTTCTCCTCGCCGTCGGGTGCATCCATGGCCCCGATGCCTCCTCGTGGTCGTCCTGGGCGTCGTAGCATATCGGGCTGTAGTGCCGTGGGGGATCTCCGCGGGGGCCAAATAGGGCGGCGCGTGCTTCCGTTTCTTGGATTTGCCCAGCAATTCAGTGACCTTGGCCAGTTCGCCGCAGCCCTCGATCACGAAATTAAGCTGTAGTGATGGCTTGTGCTCGGTGTGCCGGGGGCGATGGAGGTGTCGGCGGTGGTGGTGCCAGCGGCTCGTCCTCGTGGGGCATCTCGTGCATCCCATGTAGGTACCCCGTCTCCTGGCCTATCATGTCTTCAATGTCGGCTTCGGCGCTGTCCATGTGCTCCATGGTGTTGATGGTGGCTTGCGCTCGTTCTGCGGTGGGAGCGGCATGCCTTGTGTCATTCTCTCTCGGGTCATCTGGCGACGAGGACGCGAGGTGGCCCCCGAGCTCCTGGGAGCCCAGTCGCGGGGGACGCGCCCCCATCAGGGAACGAGGCCGTAGAGCGGCCGCGATCGAACGCACGGGCCGTGTCCCTAGACGCCATGGTAACATTAGAACGCCCAGTCTCTGAAATATGATGGCCTGGTGGGTGGCGTCGTTCAGCTGGGGGGGCTCGTGCTGCCCTGCTGGGGCCTCGGGTCGTCGTGGCTGTGTGAGTTCTTCGCGAGTCGGTACTTGGACGGGAGGTGGTACTGCGAGAAGGCCTCCTTCGGCTCCTAGTCATTGTAGAAACTGTTGCCATTGGTCCATGCTGGGGCGTCAACTCGGGAGTATTCCATAATACCGCTTGCGGGCTCGAAGTTGATGGCAAACCATGGACTTGGGGATGCGATGGCACTCGGCGAGACGGCGTTCGCGCCACGCCTGCCACAAATCGTCACTCTGCATCTCCTGGTGAATTACGGCTCATTTCCTTCAGGTGGCGGCGAAGCTTCTTACTGATGTCGGCAATGGTGTCGTCTAGGTCCTGCAGCTGCGCCTCGTGAGCCTGTGCGTCCTCTTCGGCATGTAGTCGTTGGCGTAGAAGTGCGCGTTGTCGTAGGAGCTGGAATGTGTGGTCGCGCGCTTCGCGATACCAGTCGGGCCTGCGTGAGGAGGCCGAAAAGTGCTCGATAGCGGCGGCGCGGAAGCACTGCATGGTGAGGCCCCAATGCTTGGCCCCATCTGTGTCAGCGATGTAAGCTTCGAGCTGGTCGTAATGGGTGGTGAGCTGGGCCTCCAGGCTCTCCAGGAACTCCACGCGCTTGAAGCCCTCCTTGAGGCCCATGGCGATGGCGTCGCGGTCCAGCTGCTGGTGGATCTTGCCTATGGTGTGGCACGCGGGTGGCGCCTCTAGTTTGATGTTCAGTGGCTTATGGTCCTTAAAGCGGCGTGATAGTTGAAATGCGTTTGCTGCTCGGCTCCATACTCGACATTGCTGTACGCGGGAAATCAAGCCCGTGGGGATGCTGATGTAGTCCGTCACCGAAGGGTGTCTGCCGTCGTACGTCGGGCCCGTGTCATAGTACGTGTTGGCCGCTGCCATGTGGGTGGTCACGCACATGTTGTGATAGAGTTTGCCTGCCTGTTTCCTTGCACGTCGGGAATGCGCCCACCGTCTCGTCGCCGTCGGGGCCCTCACGGGGCATACATACATATATATATATATATATATACACATGTATACACATTTATATACACATACACACATAGTTGTAAACTGTACGGTCCTGGAGGGGAACAATAAACTCTAGGTGGTGTGAGGGAAGCAGATCCTCACTTCTCTTGAGACAGGACTATTAACGACAGCTCACTAGTGACATGACAACTTACGCCTCCCCCCCCGTCGGCGGCGCGCCCAGGTGGGGGAAGGCAGGCTTGGGAAGTACAAATTGGTTTCTCAGGTTTGGTGAGGTCTGCGTTCGCTCTTGGAGACTCTCTCGCCTCGGGATGTTGCGCGTTCCGGGCGTGCCCGAATTGTCCCGAACGGCCGCCAGATGCCCGAGTTAGGACCCGAAGAGCACCAGCGGGGGGGGGGGGGCGGTTCTTCTCAGAGGGCGTCGGAGGCCCCTGGCATTCCGATAAGCCTTCCGAGCCTTCTCCGAAGCCACAGACTGGCCTCGCAAGAGGGCCTCTGAGAAGCCCCGCCGCCTTCTGGGAAGGCCTCCCCCGTAGGCGCCCCCTCCTGCAGCATGCATGGGGGCATTCGCTTGCGGTGGAAGCGGGACCGACCCCCCTCGCACACAAGCTGGCCAGTGTACGGATGCTCGCCACGGAAGAGTTAGATGCTCATTCTGGGGACCTTCCTGGAGCCACTCGCTCCACTCGTGCGTCGAAGCTGCGTCGAACCTGAGTCGAACCTGAGTCGAACCTGAGTCGAATCTGAGTCGAACCTGAGTCGAACCTGAGTCGAACTTGAGTCGAACCTGAGTCGAACAGATCCATTAGGTGGGCCCCAGGAAGGTCCCCCAAACGAGCATCGACGAAGAGTTTCCCTCGCCTGCACTTCGCCTGGGACTTGTCCAACCGGCTTCCCCAGGAAGATCGGCGGCGAGCCCGGGGGGGGGGAGCGAGAAGGAGAAAGCCTTCTCAGACGGCTCGGAAGTCCCACGGCCGTCCGAGTCTGAGCAGCTGTCTCAGCCTTCCCCAGAGGCACAACAACCTCCCAGAAGGCCAGAAGGCTCCTGAGAAGTCCCGCCGCCTTCTGAGGAGGCCTTTTCGTTCTCCCTTCCCCCGTCGCTCGCCGCCGAGAGGAGCATCCAGCCCCTCGGCGCGCCGCGGAGCCAGTCCTCATCCTCGTCGTCGCCAGGCCTCGTCGGGGACGGCACCGAGAGATCCTGTCCTCAAGAGGGTGCGGCTGGCGCGAGGGGAGGCGCCCCCCGCCACTCGCGCAGCCTCGTGCCCGCACACGAAGTACAAGGTGAGCCGCACGCGCGAACCGAACCGCGCAACAAACATCCCCAACGCCGTCGTCAGCCGTCGTCGTCGTCGTCGTCGTCGTCGTCGTCGTCGTCGTCGTCGTCGTCGTCCATCGTCGTTCATCGTCGTCCGTAGTCCGTCGTCCTCGCCCTCCTCCGTCTCGCCGTCGTCGTCGTGCTAGTCGTCGTCCTCGTCGTCATCCCCTTGCATCGTGTCGTCGTCGTTCTCCTCGCCCTCTCCGTCGTCGAGGTGGCGGTGGAGGTGGTGGTGGTGGTGGTCGCCGTCGTCGTCTTCGCCCTCGCCGTCGCCGTCGCCGTCGCCGTCGCCGTCGCCGTCGTCGTCCCTCGTCCTCCTCTTCGTGTCCACCATCTCGCCGTGCTCGTCGTCCTTGCCCTCGTCTTCGACGTCCTCGTCCTCGTCCTCGTCGTCGCCCTCCGTGTGCTGGCCGCGCCTCCCGCGGGGGGCTCGGTGCTCTGCGACCTCAGGCTCGGGCTGTGCTGCCTCGGTTGCACCGCTGCGCGGGGCGGCAGGGTGGGACGAGCTCGCGACGTTGATGGAGGCCTCCCAGATGGGGTCGGAGCAGATGGGGCCGGAGGATCGCGCCGCAGTCTCGATGCATCACCGGTGGTGGATCACTGATGCATCGGCGGCGTCGGCAACGCGCAGAAGCAATCGGGCTCCACATCGAGCCGCATCCACGATGCATCGGCGATGTTGGGCAAATCCTCCGACCCCGATCTGCTACGATCCCATCTGGGAGGCTTAGCGCTGACGCTTGGAAATGGGGACATGGTTAGCGTGTCACGCCAAGGCGTGGCGGGCCAGAAGAGGCGACGCGATTTGGTAAGCAAAAGTCCCCGACCGTAGAAGGAGAGGGGGAAGACAAGCCCTCGCATGCGAGCGTCACTTCACAAAAAGTGTGTCGGGTTATTGTGTCGTTTTCGGCCAGACGAGCCGTTTCCTGACCCCAGGACCCTCAAACAACAATGCAAGATGAAAAGTTGGCCCCTGTGAAGTGTGATACATGGCGTGCCGGAAGGGGAGGAGGAGGAGAAGGAGGAGGGAGGAAGAAGGCAGGAGGGGCGGAGGGAGTGCATGAGGGAGGGTGAGAAAGTAGAGCGAGAAGGAAGGGACGACGACGTGGAGGGGGCGAGAGGGAAAGAAGTGCAGGAAGAAGGGAGGACAATGAGGAGGTTCGCTGGGTAAGCCTCGCTAGAGACTTGCACCCTACAGGAATGTGCCATGGCCTTGAGCCGCATGGATACGGGTCATGTTGCGCAAGCTATGTTGTGCAAGCTGCGCGGTGCAAGCCACGCCTGTGCAAGCTGTGTGTTATGAACTGTGTTGTGTAGGCTGTGCGGTTCAGCCTACGTGCTGTGTGGTGTGAAGCACGTTGTGTGGTGTGTGCTATGTTCTGCAAGCCACGCCACCCGCCTGGGGTCAGGTCGGGCATGCCCCCCTACAGGCGGATTTCGGACGAAACATCAGAAATACACCCACACGGTTTAAAAATCTTCAAAAGCAGCCGAAAAATCGTCCCAAATTATATTTTTGAAGAGGCCATGGGACACACACATAAATAGACACGAATAACTGGACTCCCCATACTTCCCCAGATCTTCTGGGCTTCCGTCTTCCCCCCCGCTCCCCATATCTTCCCATATTTTTTTCTGGGGATCCACGATTCAGTGTGTCTATGTGTGTGTTTCCCCTCCTGAATTTCTGCTCTCTTTGAACGTCCCTCCTGTAGAGGCACAGGCCCGACTTTTGAGCCTGGTCACCAGCCTGGAACATATCCCCATCCCTAAGCTGGGCATCGCCTCATCACAGTGCCAACCTTAGGGACTCCCTTAGTTCTTCAGGGCGCATCCCTAAGACTGTCATCGCCTTTTGGCGTGTCAATCTTAGGGAGACGCCCCCGATTGTTTCCCCTCCCGAATTTTTTGCTATCTTTGATCGTCTCCCCTGTGGAGGCACAGGTCCGACTTTTGAGCCTGGAGCGCCCGCGAGCGCCCGCGGGGCGCCCGCGAGGCGCCCGCGAGGCGACTGCGCCATGCGCGCCGACACCTCGGCGGACCCGCCCGCGAGCGCCCGCGGGGCCAGCCCGGGAGCCGCCGCAGAGCATCCTCGGCTTAAGTCGGGCCTGTCCCTCAACGGGAGGAATATTCAAAGCCGCAGTAAAGAAAAAGAAACAAGTAGTCTGGGGACTATCTGTTGAATAGTTGTTGGCCATTTGGGGGGTATGTTTCGACTATTCTCGATTTTTCTACCAAAATCCCCCTGTAGGAGGACAGGCCCGACTTAATCCTCGGCGGGCCAGTTCAATTCCCCGGGTAACAGAGATCCCCCCTCGCAAGTGCAAGCGCTGGTTGGGGAGTCACGTGCTCGTCTGTGAGAGAGGTCCAGTGCTCACCACTCGAGTCAGCAACGCATCGAGGGTGCCATCTGCCGCTTGCTGCTTGAGCACCCCGCTTTGCTGACAGTGCATTGTGAATGCGCCGCGTCCACCAGGCATGCCTTCCTTGTGCGCATGGCTCGGGAGCGCTGGGCGAACGGCAGCGGAAGGAAAAATGCCAAGGACAGACGGAAATGAGGGAGACGTTTGTTAACGGACGGAGGGCGGTATAAAATAAACTGTTTCGCCGTCGGGGACACCTGCCCCTGGGCGGCTGGAAAGTTTATACCCTTACGGTGGCACCGTAGGGGTATAAACTTCCCAGCCGCCCAGGGGCAGGCGCCCCCGACAGCGAAAAAGTTTATTTTATACCGTTCTTCGCCCGTTAAGTTTGGAGGGCAACTTTGTGCTTCCGCCGGCCCCCGATGGCCTTCTGCCAGCTTCCGCCGGCGGAGGCCACCTCGCTCTGCTTCAGCGGGCTTCCGCCGAGGAAGCGAGGGTAACCCCCATCGATCCTCGGATGCTCGATGGAAAGGCCCTGCCTGAAGTGCCCCATCTGTTTCCTCGCACGGGCTCCTCACAAACCATTCAACGAGCGACTTGTGAGTAAGGATTCACATGGAGAGTTATCAATATCCCCACCGCTCCTGACTCAACGAATTGGCCACGGAGCGCAAATCCTGGTCTTCTTCGGCCATGGAAGAAGACCTCGCCGCAGCACACTGGGCTGCTGAGGCTTTTCAACCTGGCGATCTGACCGCCCCCCCCCCCGCATCCACCCCCGCCACTCCCGCTCGCGGCCCGCACAAGCGGAAGCGGCGCGAGCCCCCGGGGCGGCCTTCGAAGCGGGCGGGGGGCGGGGCTACCCGGAAGGCGGAGAGGGGGGGGGGGGCCTCACCGGGAGCCCCCGGAGGCTTCCGGGGAACCTCTTCGCACAGGCGGCCCGCGAAAAGGGCGCACGCGCCCAGCCACGCACACAGGAACACGGCCCCGCCATCCACCAGCCCGGCCGCGTGATATATCAGCGTTCGCGCAGGGCGCGCCCCTCGGAACCGCGGCGTGGGTTCCGTAGGGCGTGCGCGCCCTTCTCTCGCTCCTGCTTCCCGCAGCCAGGAGGTCCCCCGAGGCGGCCCCCGCCTCCCGAAATGAGCCCCGCGCGCCGCGCGCGGAGCCCCCCGCCGTCCCCCGTCCACCCCTGCCCACCACCGCGGGAGTTGGGCCCCGCGCTGGGCCAGCACCTGGAGCTCCGACACCAGCTCCACGGTCACTCGCGCGCCCTTTTGGCACGGGCCCGCTGCAGGGCGCCCTCGTCCCCCATCCTCTTCCCGCTCCTCCTCCTGGGTGGGAGGCGCGAGCGTCCACGGCGTCGTCGACGCCGAGAGAGAGGGCCCGGTCCACGAAGTCCACGACTGCTGCTGCTTTTCGCCCTCCTGCTCCTCCTCCTGCTCCTCCTCCTCCTCCTCCTCCTCCTCCTCATTCTCCAACCTCCTCTTTTCCTTGATACTCCAGCCTCCACTATGATCTTCCCTTTCCACCTGCTCCTCCTCCTCTTCTTCGTCGTCATGTTGTTAAACCTCCTCGCCTCCACCTCCTCCCACCTGCATCCCTTCATTCCCCAACTCGACTTCCTGTTTCGGTGTACTCTCCCTCCTCTGCATTTCGTTATTCTCCTCCTCACGCTCCTCCGCCTCATCATCTTTCTCTGCCTCCGCCTCCATACTCGTTTTCCTGATCCTCCTCCTTCCCTTCGTCTTCCTCTTTCTTCCGCCATCTCCAGTCTGCCTCTCCTTCTACCCATGTTCCTCCCCCACAGCCTCCCTAATCGGCATTCTTCTCCACATACCACGCCTGCTCCCCATCACCCGCCATGTCCTCATCCTCCTCCGCAAGGAAGTTGAACCATCATGCTCATGTTCTTCAGATTTCTCTTCGTTTTGCTCCTAGCCTACTTGCTCCTCATCATCTTCGTCACCCTCCACGGTGTCATGGCGAATGTCTTAAACATGCTTTGTCGGCCGATGTTATCATGATGCTTGCCGTGCGCATCATAGTTCCCGTGAAGTGATCCAGAGTACCCTGCCTGGCCAGCAGAAACCCCGAGGCTACGGCAAACAATTTCAAGAGGGGGCAATCTTCGAAAATAGTTTGTGTGTTGTGCCGTGAGGCTAGGCTGAAGCAATGATGTAAACCTCATCCAACCCTGCGACAATGCCACAACAATCGTAAGGCTATGGCGAAGACTCTTAAATTTGGGCGCGATGTGGGAGGCATACAAAAAGGATTGTCTCAGAGTACGTCTGGCTTGACCTAGCCGCTGGCAAGCGCAGGACTGTGGCACAAATTTTGAACGTGATCAAATCATTGATCTAATCGTGCCCGAAGTGTTCGACAAGCTGGCCCATGGGAGCACTAAGGAACATGGACTGCAAGCTAATGCCATCACTGCGAGGACAAATCCGTTGACCCTTCGGCGTGTGGGAAGCTTTTCGTTTGAGTCGTCGCCGTCATCGTCGTCGCCGTCGTCGTTTGTCGTCGTCGTCGTCATCGTCGTCGTCGCCGTCAGTCCCAAAGAAATTAAAGAACAAGGAACTTCAAAAACGTCGCAATTAAGTCGAAAATTAGCCTTTCCCTTTGATCGCTTCCCTGCCTGGGGGGGGTGGGTCGCAGGGGGAGGGGGGTCCAGGAGGGGGGTCCCCCAGGAGGTCCCCGGGGGGGGGGGTCCCGGGTCAGAATGCCACCCCCCCGGGGGGTCCCGCAGCCCCAAAAAGCAATAAGACGGACCAAGAGTGCCCCAAGAGGCCGCCCAGACGGTCCAAGAGGGCCCCGAATCGCCGAACGATCGGTCCAAGACGCGCAATATAGCCTCCAGACAGCCCAAGAGGCCTTCAAGACGGCCCAAGAGGCCTCGAAGAGCACTTCCACGAGGGCCTCACGAGTCTAACTTTATTGATTGTTTTTTTTTCTCTCCAAGAATACAAATTTCAACGTTCTCGCCTTCCCGGCGACCCGACGGTCCAAGACGGCCCAAGAGGCCCTCAAGATTGCCCCAAGACGGCCCAAGAGGCACCCAAGACGGCACCCAGGAAGTCCCAAGAAGCCCTCAAGAAGCTCCTGAGAAGCTCCCAAGCGGCTCCCAAGAAGCTGTAAAACTGACCCCAGATGTTCCCGAGAGCGCTTCGAAGAGGCACCAGGAAGCATCTCTTAGGGACTCAGACCCACGTCAGCTTCGTCGTCGTCGTCGTCGTCCCCCTTCAGGGTCGGCGGCACCGGCCGTAAGACCTTCGCACTATACTCGTGCATTGAGTATGTCTTTCAATGGTTTGAATAATGCGTGGTGCGGGTTCCACAGCTCTACATAGTCACCAGCGATAGCAAGAGGAACCCATGTATTTCACAAGGTTTTGGGCGGTAGAGCTCGACGCGTTCTGTCGCGAGTGCTGATGTGTCCGACACCAGCGGGGCGGTGGCAAACATATTTCGTAGTTAAGCGGCTGGAAACCCAACGCGATGGACCATAGGTAGGTTGGCCATTTAACCTACAATTTTTCTTTACTTGGGTGTGCGGCAACCGTGCGCTCAACCCGTTTCCTTTCTCTCGCAGAACATGCGTGAACTGACCCTTTGGGCAGCGCGCCTGAGGGGCAACGATAGGGGGTGATACGGATAGGGGGGAAACATCGAGCCGGAATCGGCGATACATCGCCGATGGATCGGCGACAGGCCTCCGATACTGAATCCGCGCCTTCCTGGGCAGGTGGGGGCTATCGGGCCCCTATCGGCGATCCATGGGCGATTGGGAGGAGGAGGAGGAGGAGGAGGAGGAGGAGGAGGAGGAGGAGGAGGAGGAGGAAGAGCAGAGAGGAGGGAGGAGCGAGGAGGAAAACAAGGATGAGGAGGACGAGGAGGAGGGGGAGGGGGAGGAGGACGAGGAGGAGGAGGACCAGTTCAAAGCCAAGACTCACCAACGATGTTGCAAGGGGCCCGCCCTCCAAGACCCCTCTTCATAGGCTCCTGTGACACTCTGGATTCACTGCGGGAAGAGTCCCGTTGGTAGACAGTCGTCTGAAAATATCCAACCATGCCAAAGCACCAGTCCTGGGACTTCAATGCCGCGATTTAACGTCACCGTTGCGACCTCACGATCCTAGATCGATCCAAATCGTGCCAGAACACCATGTCTGGGACGTCAACACGGCGAATCAACGTGACAATCGTGACTGACAATCCTGAATGGTGCCAAAACGCCGTTTCTGGGGCGTCAACCGTAACATTGTTTAAACTGCTGTAGCCTGTTAGGACGAATGTGCGCGGCGCTAAGGCGAGAATTCCATGTTGAAAAGGTACCGCCCTTCATCAGTGAACATCTCACAAACTTTTGAAACGAATGTGCGCGGCGCTGAGGCGAGAACCACATGTACAAAACAACCCGCCCTCCACCCGTGAAACTGCTGCAACCTTCACGCTTCAAGATCAGAACGAGTGAGGAAATCTCAAGCGAAACGCCCGGCCCGCCCTGCCAACCCGTCCCGGGTTGGGACAGGGGGAAGTGATGGGAAGAGGAGGAGGAGGAGGAGGAGGAGGAGGAGGAGGAGGAGGAGGAGGAGGAGGAGGAGGAGGAGCGAGGACGGAGGAGGAGGAGGGCGAAGGGCACCGAGGCGGGGCAGGCATGGGCGCGAGCGTCGTCGGGGCTCGGCGGGCGGCGGCACGGGGCCGTCCTCGACGCCATCCCTCAGCCCCATGTTCCCGGTGCTGATCGCCTCGTCGCTGGGGGGGAGGTGGAGAGATGAGGCATTTTTCTTGACTATACTTAGCCCGTTGCAAGTTAGCTTGAGCGCAGCGGCCAACAGGACTGGCACAGGCTGCACACGAGAAGCCCGAGAGCATGGACGCTGAGCTGCTTCCGCTCTCGGCCCGAAAACTGTCGGGAGAGAGGTATTGGCGCTGCGGGAGGGGAAGAGAGGAAGGCAGGAGGGAGACGACGAACGGGAAGGGTGGGGATACAGTCAGGAACCTCGTGCATCGCCCTGTCGCCGCGGCGGTCCCCCAGCGACGCGCCACGCCCTGCGAACGGCCAGCGTGTCGCACCTCTACGCGGGACGGAAGGATGGAAAAAAACTCGGGACCTCGACGCATGAGTTGGAAGAAGATAGCGTGTCGCGCCGAGGCGTGGTGGGCCAGAGCTGGCAAAGCAACACGCTGAGCCACAGTTCCTCACCGTACTGAACCCATGACTCCTCCTCTTCGGCCTCGCACCCCGTTCTTGCACGCGGCAGGGCCCGAGGGAACAGGTAGTCAACAGGAGGCAGGGGAGGGCGAGGAAGGACTATGAGGAGGAGGCGGAGGGGGAAGGTGAGGATGAGCATGACCAGCGCGAGAAAAAGGAGAGGCGGAGAGGGATGACACTGATAAGGTATGAAAGAGAGGGAGAGGGAGAGAGAGAGAGAGAGAGACGAAACACACGAGAAAGAGAAGCGAACAGCGGAAGCGGGGGGGGGAACCGAGGACAGGGATAAAGAGTCGATTCGAATCGAGCTCTCGGGGCATGAAGTAGTCCGATCATCCACTCGTGAGAAGCCTGAACGATGAGGAGCGTATTGCCAGAGCTGCCCCTGGCTCAAGGTGGCGCCCCAGGAGATCCAGGGAGGCCCCCGCGGCCTCCAGGGCACCTCTCCTCTCACCAGAGGGCCCCAGGGACCCCCCAAGTGGTGCGACAATTTGCTCGGTGCGCCTCGGGCGGGGGCCACGCCTGGCAACCTGTGGATGCGGGAGGAGGGCGCGCAGGGGAAAGGCGGCCCCTCGATACATGCAGACACACACCGGGAACCGGGTGCAACCCGGCACCCCCAAAGAGGACTCCTGGAGACTCCCCCGAACGTTTTCCGAGCGCTTCTGGGATCTAAGAACTCCGAGGTCGCGGCTTTCGTCGCGACGCTCCGGAGACGCCCCCGCCGATTGGAAAATGCTGGATTCGAAGCCAGATGGAAGCGTGCTGGGTAACACGTATAAACTATAAAGTAATGTGGCTGCTGTCTATGATCTCGGTCGCCTGCATGCGGCCTGGCCTGGCGGCCGCGCAATATGCAGGCATAAGGGCAAGGATCAGGATGAGGAGAAGGCTGCCCTCTCCCCCCCACCCCCTTCCCCCCACCTCCTCCAATTCCACCTTTTCCTCTTCAAGGGCCCGCTGTATTCATCACGACGAAAACCAAAGAAGACTAACGCAGGCGTTCCTCTGGGCACGGCGAACCTCGGCCAAGAACAGGACACTGGACCTGGATCTCAGGAGCGGCGGAATAATCACCCCCCCTCCTAAACGAAAAGTGGTCCTGACTTAAAAAGACACGTTTCGTGGGTGCTTGTTTGGCCAAAATCCCTGGACACGTCGGAGCCGCCCCCCCAAAAAAACAAGAAAATATCCTGGCGAAAAACCCAACCATAAGCAGTTGTGGATAACGCAGTTGTTGGTATCGTCTTCGGTGGAGCTCCTTATGGGGCACGCCACGTGTGAGGGGTGTGACAACATGGGCGCGGTGGTGTCATGCGAGCGCAGCCACTGGGGTCTTCGGTGGAGCCCCCTTCATGGGGCCACGAAGCGTGTGAGGGGTGTGCCGAGATGGGCGCGGTGGTGCCATGCGAACGAATACAGTGGGGTCTTCGGTGGAGCTCCCGATGGGGCCACGAAACGTGTGAGGGGCGTGCCGACATGGGCGCGATGGTGTCATGCGAGCGCAGCAACAGGGGCCTTCGGCGGGGTTCCCCATGGGGCCACGAAACGTGTGAGAGGTGTGCCGAAATGTGTGCGGTGGTGTCATGCGAGCGCAGCCACACAGGCCTTTGGTTGAGCTCCCCATGGAGCCACGAAACGTGCGAGGAGTGTGCCGAAATGGGCGTGGTGGTGTCACGCGAGCGCAGCCACACAGGCCTTCGGTGGAGCTCCCGATGGAGCTACGAAGCGTGCGAGGACTGTGCCGACATGGGCGCGGTGGTGTCATGCGAACGCAGCCACAGGGGCATCCGGTGGAGCTCCCGATGGTGCCACGAAGCGTGTGAGGGGCACGCCGATCTTGGCGCGGTGTTGCCATGCGAGCGCAGCAACAGGGGCCTTCCTCGGTGGAGTTCGCGGCGAAGCGTGTAAAGGGTGTACTGACATGGGTGCGGTGGTGTCATGCGAGCGCAGCAACATGGGCCTTCGGCGGGGTTCCTATGGACCACGAAACGTGAAGGGTGTGTCGACATGGGCGCGGTGGTGTCATGCGAGCGCAGCCACTGGCGTCTTCGGTGGAGCTCACAATGGGGCCACGAAGCGTGTGAGGGGTGTGGTGTCATGCGAGCGAAGCCACTTGGCTTTTTTATTTCATTAAATCTGCGAAGACTTCTGAGGCGGCCCCAGAAGCAGCCCTCCCAGGGCGCCCACCTGCGCGGGCGGGCACAGAAAAGGGGCCAGGTATGCAGCGCCACCAGGGGCGCCCTCGCGGGGGGCCACCGAAACCACCCCTTGGCGGCGTGAAGGAAGCCAGCGGCGGCGCAGACGCGAGCGGCTACGAAAGAGGCCGCCGCACGCTCGCAACGGAGGGCGTCATGCGTGCCCCAGAAATGCCTGCAGCCTGCGCCTGAGCTCACTGCGGGGCTCGTCGTCGCGGGCTGGGATCCCAATCCGCGGCACGCTGCAACATCTCCACGGACGTCGCCAGCAGGCGCTCGATTTCGACCTCGGATGGCCCAGGGCCCGAGCTGGGGCCCGCCGCGGCTGCCGCGCCGCCCCCATCACCGCGAGCGCGAGGGCCTCCGCCAGGGGCCCCGTCCGCGAGCGGGAGGGCGCCACGATCCCGACGCCCGCGAGGCCCTCCGCCACGGGGCCCGCCGCCAGGGCGCGGGGGGGGCAATGGCGGCCGCGACCGCAGCAGGGCCGTCAGCCCAGGCGTCATCGGGGAGGGAACCGCCGTCGACGCCGTCCTCCACCATCATCTCGAGGGCCGCCGCCTCGACATCTGCAGGCCCGCACCGCGCGCGCGCGCCGGCGGCGCCGCTGGGCGCGCCCGCGCGGGGCCGCCAGCGCCCGGAACGCCCGCTGCGGGGGCGGCCTTTGCTGCTTTGGACGCCCGAAGTAGGTACGGAAAGAATGGGTACAATGCCCAACAACAAATGTTGTCCCAAACCAACAGCGGCCGCTGTTGGGCGGGCGGCCTTCTGTCTCGAATGGACACAGGCCGCGGCGGCGTGGACAGCGAGTCCTGTTCAAAATGAACAGGAATTGCTGCTGGGCATTGTACCCATCCTTTCAGTGCCCATTTCGGGCGTCCAGAGCTGCTGCCGGCGCCTCCCCATGAGGCGGACCGGCCGCGGTGCCCCTGCGAGGCTTCGAAGCCTCCATCACGGCCACGGCAGCGCGGCACAGCCCTTCGGCCGAGCGCAAGAGACGGGCCGCTTCGCCTGCACCGCGCGAGAGGCCCGAGGCCGCATGGGCCGCCAGCGCCGCGACGCGAGCGGCAGTCAGCGCGTTGCGCAGCTCACGCTGCAGGAGCGCCGTTGGGTCCAGGCACCGACGGGGGCGCCGCGCGGCGGGCCCAGCAGCGAACAGTTTGAGAATGTCGATGGCTAGCCACTGGGGCCTTGGGTGGAGCTCGGCATGGCGCCACGAAGCGCTATACTGGGCGGGGGAAACGCAGAGAGGAGGGAGGAGGGGGGAGGAGGATGAGGAGAGAGGAGCAGAGGAGGAACGCGGGGACCGTCTCTTCAAGACGAGGACCCAACACCACAGGATGGTTGGGAAATATTTGACGCGCCCCCCGGAAAACTTGCCATCCCCCCCCCCCTTGGAACACCAGCCTCTCTAACTACCCCCCCCCCCCGCACCGAGGAGGGGGTCGGGTGTGTTCGAACTGGGTGCCCCCCTCCCCCTTTTCCTATAAAAGAATCCTATACATGCTCGATCAAGCTCGAATGCACTCCTGCTATAGCTGGATCTAACTTTCATCGCATCCTCCTCGTCGGACTCGATCCGAACTCTGATAGAAACATGCTAAAGCTGGGTCCAAATCTAATTGAATCCTACTGGGGATCGGTTCAACTGAAATAGAATCCGGCTATAGCTCGATCCAACTGAAATAACACCCTAGTGGGGCTCGGCCCAACTCTACGAGAATCCTCCTATAGCTGGATCCAGCTGAAGCTCAAACCTACTGGGGTTCGATCCACCTCAGACAGATTTCGGTTATTAGCTAGGCCAAGTTCAAATTGGACCCTACTAGGCCTCAATCCAGCTCTCATGCAACCTTACTGCGGCTCAATCCTGCCTGAATCGCATCCAACGTCGCCGTTCTTGCCCGACGGCGCCAGCGCCAGCGCCGGCGCTCGCCGTCGTCGGTTGCAACTGGGGAGGGAGGACCCCCCCCCGGTTCGACCCCCCCCCCAGTTCAACCCCCCCCCCCCAGTTCGAACCCCCCCCCCCAGTTCGAACCCACCCCAGTTCGAACCCCCCCCAGTTCGAACCCCCCCCAGTTCGAACCCCCCCCAGTTCGAACCCCCCCCAGTTCGAACCCCCCCTGGTTCGACCACCCCCCCGGTTCGAACCCCCCCTCTGAATGGCACGGGGGGGTACCGCTTCGAAACCCGCCCGCCCCTTCCCAGCGTTCACAGAAGGCGCTCTTTTTATAACTTCAGCGTCTTCGCTGTCGATACGCCTGCCCATCCTCCTCCCACTCCTCCTTCCCCTCCTCCAGGGCCAACTCATACCACCGCCTGGCCCCTCCTGCAACTCTTCCCCTTTCTCCAAACGCCCCATGGTCCAACGAGAGTCTGCCGAACACATCCGAGGGCCACCGAGAGAGTCAGATCTAATCTGCAAACATTCGAGAGTCCTTCTCGTCGTCGTCCTTCACCTCCTATTCCTGTTCCTCCTCCCGCTCCTCCTCCTCCTCCTCCTCCTCCTCCTTCTCCTCCTCCTCCTCCTCCTCCTCCTCCTCCCGCTCCTCCCTTTCCTCCTCCTCCTCCTCCTCCTCCTCCTCCTCCCCTGTCTTATCTTTCTCCTCCTCCTCCTGCTTCCTCCTCCTCCTTCCTCCTCCCATTGTGCCCCCTCCTTCTCCACGACATCCACCTCCTCCTTCTCTTCTTGCCCTCCTTCACCCTCCACACTCGCCCTCCCTCCTCCTCCGCCCTCCCTCCTCCTCCTCCTCCTCCTCCTCCTCCTCCTCCTCCTCCTCCTCCTCCTCTGTGTCCTGCTTCCCCTCTCAAGGTATCCGAAACATCCTGCAAGGCAATAGAAATTTCTGGCATCCAAAGATAACGATATGGGCCGGCGGAATTAGCGAAGCGATCCGCTGGACCACCGGGTACGGCGTGTGAGACTACCACCGCATGATCTGCAAGGACTGTTCCACGCGAGTCTTCTCACCAACGCATTTTTCATACCCATCCCTGCCTCTGATGAGGGGCAACTATAGGGGGGGACTGGCATAGGGAGGGGAACATCGACCTAGAATCGGCGATACCTCGCCGATAGATCGGCGATAGGCCTCCGACAGCGAATCCACTCGTTCCTGGGCAGATTGGGGCCATCGGGCCCCCTATCTGCGATCAGTGACCGACTGGAGGCCGAGGCACTCCCCCCCACCCAAATGCCCTATCCCCCCCCTGTCGTGGCCCACCGTGGCCCCTGCCTCTGAGCCTCTGCGGGCCCCTCCGGGGGTCCCGGGGCGCCCTCTGGCCCCCACTTCCGTCCCGAAACGACCCCCATGTCAGGTGAGCGCACACGTCGGTCCTAAGAAGTAGGTAAAAACATGAAGTAGGAAGGCAGGTTCAGTTGATTGGGCCCAGGCCCCCCCAGGGAACAACCAAAACACAGCAAGAGCGTGCCGATTCTTGAAGTAGGAAGGCGCTTGAAAGGGATTGGGATCTTGGAATACAAAAATACCTACTTTCAGCGACCGGCGTGTAATCTGCGCGCGGCCGGGCCCTCGCGGAAACATCCCCAGTGAACCTCCCCAGGCCGCTGGGGGGGCCTCTCGGGGCCCTCCTGGGCTCCATGGACCGGTCCTTACGGCCACCTGGGGCCGTTCTGGATGCCTCTCCGCCTTCGCTCAGGTTCAAACATCTGCGAAGCCCGAGGAACAAAAACACTTGTAGAGCACATCGGATGCTGACGATTCCAGCCGTCTATGGTTTCTTCTTTTGCCTCTCTTGGAGTTCCCGTGCGTCTCCCCAGGCTCCTCCATCTTGAAATGGGTGGATGCTCTCTGCGGCCGTCCTGACTGCCTCTCGGGTCCCCCCGAGCTCTTTGGTTTGGAGGGGGTGCGGTGCCAGCGCTGGAAATGGCGATCTTACCGAAGATACCTGCAAGTGTCTTACATCTGGATATCAACCACGTTGGCCTTGCGACGATCGCGTCGAACAACGTCAGACATGACTCCACATCTCCCGAACGGCCGCAATCAAATTTGAGCAAAGACGCAAATACCAACCTGAGATTGTCCGATCGCCAAGGCCAACAACCCCAAATATCGAATTGCAAGCAACGTGATCCCCAAAAAACCGAATCGCGAACAAAATGATTTCGGGGAGATTCTTAATTCCCCCCAAAAATGATTCCGGACATTCCCCGAAATGTGACTGTTTCGCGTACAAGCCCAAATTCTGCTACTTTCGAAACGATTTTCCGTAAATTCCGAAATCACAGACATGAATTCTGGAATTCCGTTACCTCCAGAATGGCGCGACTGGCGATCGGACGTCCTGGAATTGGTATTGCGCAGCCGTTCGGACTGGACAGGAATCGCTTGGGAGAGTCCGAAACTGAAGGTTAGACGTCGGTTGATACAGTCGTTTCAAAACCAACGCGGTTGACATCGGCACGTAAGGCACTTGCGGAAATCGTCGATAACATCGCTAGTTCCAACGCTGGCACCGCATCCCCTAGACCGGATCTGGACGCCTCCTGGGCAGCTTTGTCGATCGTCTGGGGCGCCCCCACAGCCCCCGGGAGCCTTTCCAGGAGATGAACCAACAAAATGGAGATGTGTTCGTTCTCCCTCCAGCTTCCCTCGTTCACACCACTCCGCCGCACTCGACACATCCTGGTCACTTTGGGGGCCCCTCACGGGGCCCCCTGGCGCTCTTTTCTGGGCCGAGCCCGACGGTTGTTGTGTTTTGTTCGGGCCTCTCTGCGGCCGTCCCGGCGGCTTGTCGGGGCCCTCCTTGGTTTCCAGGGACAGGCTCACATCCAATGCTCGTGCCTTGTTAGGCCGCCTTCGCCTCTGCGTGGCCCAAGGCTGCTCAGATAGTCCGAGTCCGGTCGCGGGAGTCACGCCCTCCCTACATCTGCATCCGAGCGGCCGCCTTCCAAACACAGTGGGGCGGCGGTGTCTGCCTCCGAGGGGACGCTTTATTCAATTGGCATGGGTGTGGGCACTCCAGATTTCGTAATAAAGGGAGGGGGGTCTCATTTCGGGGGGGGTCTCTCCCAGGCTATCTTGGAGGGCCTGGGGTGTCTGGGGGCGATGTTTTGGAGGGTTCTCCCACGGGGGAGGTCTGAAATGGCTTGTCTTGGAGGGTTGTGACCCCCTCCCTTTTATTACGAAATCTGGAGTACTACTTTCCCGAGCCCGTTGGCGGCGGCAAGGGCAGTGGCTGCCAGCGGCAGATCCAAGCCCGACGTCTTCAGCTACAACGCTTGGTTAACGGAGTGCACTGATGAGGCGGACAGTGGCAGTGTTGTCCGCGCATGCAGTGGTCGCGGATGTTGTCAGTTCGAGAGGCCACGCGGACTGGGGCCAGATCGTGCGACTAAACAAGCACTGGCAGACGTTTTGGGCTATGTCAACCTGCGCGAGGAAACGGACAGTGACAGCCGATGCTGGCAGCGAGAAGTGAGGGCACTGCGAGATGCCGAGCGTGAGCCAACCATCGGCTGCAACGCGGGGATCAGCTCATGCGAGAAGGGACGGAACGCGCCAGGCATCATTCACGACGCTGGGAACAGCACGAGTCTCGCGCGAGGCGGCAGACTGTGGAAGCCTGGATTGTCGGTGCGCGATGGCGGTGGCGGCTCTGTCTGTCGGTGCGAGAGGGCAGGCAGAAGCAGCAGCATCTGGCGGTGCGAGGAGGCGAGCAGTGGCAGCGCTGACTGTCGGTGCAAGACGGGAGGCTTCGACAGCGAGGTCTGGCACTGCGGGATCCGCTCGTGCGCGGCATGACCTGCTTTCCAACGGAAGGCAGCAGGCGGCGGCGTCGCAGAGGGCTATGCTGTTGAAGGACGTGGCTCGAAAGATGGGCCAAACACCTAGGGATGTCCATCCCCCCCTCGTAGTTCCTCACCACGGATGGGCCCTCGCCGCTTAAGAGCAACGGCATGGGGAAGAGATCGATGGAGTGCATGTGATCAGCTGCAGCTTCGGAGATCAAGCCTGGTATCAAAGGATAGGCCTTGGGGTAGGGGCGGTCTTATCACCGCCGACACTTGTGCTTCGAATATCTGGAGGCTTGGCCTGTAGAATCCTGCTCCTCCTCCTCCTCCTCCTCCGCCTCGTCCTTGTCCTCGTCCTCGTCCTCCTCCTCCTCCTCCTCCTCCTCCTCCTCTTCCTCCTCTCCTGTTTCACCTCCTCCTTCCCTCCGCCTCCCTCCGCCCCCCAACCACCCCAACCCCTCACATCCCCTGACCTCCTCTCCCCTCCTCCTCCTTCTCCTCCAAGACGCCCGCGCGGAGCTCGTTTACAGTGTGCCAATTTCTAGCCTGTTCAGTTCACTCGGTGTGTTGTTTGTTGCAGCGCATGCCGCACAGTCGGTGCACACCCATGTGTGCACCTTTGCGTGGGGCAGCGCGGACGGCATCGTCCCCCCATGCCCGCACATGCCACACATCCCCACCAACCAAAAACTGAGGATCGCCATGCCCCCCCCCACCACTCCCATGACCGAACATGGACAAACTGTTTAAATACCAGCTCCTCCTCCTCCTCCTCCTCCTCCTCCTCCTCCTCCTCCTCCTCCTCCTGCTCCCCCTCTCCATAGCGCTCCCTGGAGGACGTGCACCTGGCACTCATCCCTCTTCCCCCGCCACGTTGCTCCTCTTCTCTCCTCATCCCGCCTCCTCGTCCCTATCCTCCCCCCCACCTCCTCCTTCCTCCCTCCCTGCCCCCTCCTCCTCATCACGTGTCCTCCCTCCTCTTCCCTCCTCCTCCTCCTCCTCCTCCTCCTCCTACTTCTCCCATCCATCTGGCCGCCTGCGGGGCGAGGACATGTACCTGCCTGTTTTCTCCTCGCTCCTCGCCCCGCACATGCTCGCACATGCCGTCACAATATCCTTCCCCGCACATGCCCGCATATATGCACGCGACGTGGGGAAACTGAAGGCCAACAAGGAGCGGGGAGAAGCGTGGACCCCAAACAGTAGGTCATGGTACAATGGATGTGTAAACTGCTGGATGTGATGCAAAAGTGTCTCTGCGCTTGCATGTCGAAGAGTAGGTCAGAGTGAGGGGGCTGAACCGAACGGTCATTCACTGTCCCTGGGTGCGCGGCTGAAGTGGAACTCCGCGATGCGGGTTATTATTGTTATTGTTGTTGTTGTGGTTGTTGATGTTGTTGTTGTTGTTGTTGTTGTTGTGGTTGTTGTTGAGGGTGTTGTTGTTGGTGTTGTTGTTATTGTTATTGTTGGTGTGTGTTGTGTTGTGTGTTGTGTGTTGTTGTTGCTGCTGCTGCTGCTGAAGTTGATGGTGTTGTGGTTGTTGGTGGTGTTGTTTGTTGTTGTTGCTGTTGTTGGTGTTGTTGTTGTTGGTTGTTGTTGGTTGTTGTTGTTGTTGTTGATGGTGTTGTTGTTGGTATTGTTGGTGTTGTTGTTGTTGTTGCTGTTGATGCTGCTGTTGTTGTTGTTGTTGTGGTTGTTGTTGTTGTTGTTGTTGTTATTGTTGTTTGTTGTCGTCGTCCCGCCCGCGACCCGCCCCGCGACCCAACCGCGACCCACCCGCGACCGACCCGTGACCCACCAGCGACCCACCCGCGACCCACCCACGACCACCCGCGACCCGCCCCGCGACCCACCCAAAATGTTCGGTGGGTTTCTGTTGCGTTCGTTCCAAGTGGAGAACCTGCGACCCAGCCGCGACCCAAACCGCGCCCGCGACCCACCCGCGACCCACCGCGACCCACCCGCGACCCACCCCGCGACCCACCCAAAATTTTCCGCGCCTGCGGCGGGTTTCTTTTGCATTCGCTCGAGGTGCAGAACCTGCGACCCACCCACGACCCAAACCGCGTTCAGTGTACAAATCAAAACTTTCGGCGACTGCGGCGGGCTTTTTTGAATTCCTTCCAGGTGGAGGTGGAGAGCCCGCGACCCACCCGCGACCCCAACTACGTTCACCGAACAAGCCAAAACTTCGGCGCCTGCGGCGGGTTTCTTTCGCATTCGTTCCAGGTGGAGAATCTGCGGCCCAAGCCGCGCTCAGTGTGCAGATCAAAATGTTCGGCGGCTGAGGTGGGGAGCCCGCGACGCACCCGCGACCCCAACTACGTTCACTGAGCAACCCAAAAATTCGGCGCCTGCGGCGGGCTGTTTTTGCATGCGTTCCGGGTGGTCCACCAGCGATCCCCCCCGCGCTGAACTTGTCAGAGAACGCAAATCACGAGGAAGAGGAAGAGGAAGAGGAGAAGGAGGGGCCCCCACTTTTTTTACTCGACGAGGAAGCCCACCAGGCCTCTGAGGAGGGGAGACGTACACTCGGGCCGAGCTGTCGCAGGACCGTGTGGCCCTTGGAACTGGGGTGCTGCGCAGGCATGGGGCGATCGCTCACGCGCGTCAGACGCGCGGGCGGGCAGAAGCATGCTGCGGGTCTCGTCTTCTCAGAGAGGGTAGCTGAGCTAATCTGATTGGGCGTCCAAAAACCGACGGCGCAATCTAGCAAGTCCTGACCCGCGACGCCCTCAGATTGGGCGTCCAAAAAACCGACGGCGCAATCTAGCAAGCCCTGACCCGCGACGCCCTCTGATCAGGCGTCCTCATCCCATGGCCACCGTTCTGATGACGCGGATCGACCTCGGGCTTGTGGCGCTCGGGACTGGTTTCCTGGGATCACTTCCCCGCGAACAAAGACAATGGGCCGTCTTACTTCGTGAGGACCTCGAGCCACGTCGCCACTTCGTCCTCGAGCCATCCCGCGGGCAGAACTCCTGTCATCCTGGTCGCGATGCCCTCGGCCTGGAACGCCCAGGCGATCGTGCCCCTGAGTGGCCACTGTGGCGCGGCGAGCAACAATTTGACTTTGGTGTTGTCGTGGGGGGTCTCGAGCTTCACCGCGCGGACGTCCAGTTCGATCATCATCTTGTCTACTGTGGGGGGGGGCTCCTCCTGGTGGCTCGATCTGCTCGAGATACTCGTTCAACTTCTGTTTGTTGGCCCCCCCTACGTCGCACTGCGTGGGAGTTTCGATCATCGTGGCCGCCAGTGAGGCTGTGGGGCTGCCAACCGCTCGCAACTTCTCGATCCTCTCCTCCCTGGCGGCCGCCACCGTCTTCCTGCGCTGCTCTAGTGTGTCCTCCAGCGCCTTGGCGACTGGATGATCCTTCGGCATGGTGAAGGTGTCTACTACGGTGGCCATGGTGAGCCTCTGCCGCTGCGCTGTCTGGAGCGCCAGCATGGCGGGGCTGAGTAGGCACTCCTGCAAGTTGCTGTCCTTGCTCGCCCACTTCTTCTCGGTGTGGTTGCCCTTGCGGTGGCGGCGCCCACCGCGATGCCTCTTCTTGCTGCCGTCGTTCTTGCCGCCCTCTCCCTTGTCGCCCTTGCCCGTCCCGGCTGGGGCCGGCGCATCGATCGTCGTCAGGTCGCCGTCCTTGTCGCCCGCGAGCCGCTGCTTGACGGCTGGATTGGAGGCGCTGCCAGAAGCGCCAGACGTCTGGGAGGGCGCCTGGAGCCGCCGCGCCGCCCTCGTTCGCCCTGTGCTCGGCGTGCCCTTCTCTCCTCGGGGGTCGCTGCCGCCGCCGCCGCCATGGTGCTGAGGTGGTCGTGGCGCCAGCAGCGGCGCGCTCGCTGCCGTGACCCGCGCAGGCCGTGACCCCGCGGGCGGCGCCTCAGGAAGTCCCGCTGCAGGTGGGTCACGTCGTTGTTGTCGTGCAGGTCCTGCGCGCTCTCTCGCCAGCCGCCGCCTGCTCCGCGCCTCTGCCAGGCGTCGGAACGCCTCCCGACGCCGCGCCCTCGCCTCGAGGCTGCCCCTCACGTCGTGCACCGGCGGCGGGGCGACCTGCGAGGGCCCGCAGGTGGCAACGCCGCGAGCGCTGTGGGCTGGCTGGGGCTGCGCGAGTTTGAGCCGATAGCCTACGGAGGTCACAGGAATGTGAGTCGCCAGGTGCCTTCGAAGCACCATTGGGTCATCAAAATGAAGGTGGCACTCTGGTCGACCCGCATCTGAGGCCAGCGGGCAAGTCGTTTCAGCAGACGGTGCCCATTCATATCGGTGGCGAGTCATCTCGGGGATGCATCTTCCAGCTCGCCATGCTGTGCTCAGGTGCCGTCTCGTGTGGTCCACGCAGCAAAATACGGTCTGGCAGTTAAGGCATCGGTTATCCTGGGTACTGACGGACAAGATCGGGGGGGGCCGTGGCCTGGCAGCGTCGTCGCAAGGATCTGGCGATTGACAAGCTCACGATTAGTGGCAAACCGTGCCCGACATCCCTCGACCCCGCATCGGAGCGGGGCGATCTCAGCTTCATCGCTCTCTGCGTCGCCCACCTCCTCATCCTCAGGTAAGCCCTCCTGAAAGTATCCTGGTGGAGCCCACTCCTGGTCCTGCATGCTGGTCCGCATCGCCCGAAAGTCGCAAATCCTGAAAGCGTCGGCCACCTCGGGGTTCCCCCAAACAAATATCCAGAGTCGCGGCTCCCAGACCACCTTGAACTCCTCCCCGATCGGGCGGGGCAGGACCGCTTCCAAATCCTGGGAAAACTGGGGCGCCCAAGGGTGCACATTCGAGGACTGGTTGAGCCCCCAATTCGGCAGGATGGTGACATCGGAAACCCCATTGCCCTCCTCCCTAGCCCTTACCTCGAACATGCACTCGCCAAAAAAGATCTGGATGTAGTGTCTGTGATGTCCTGGGCCCCCGACGATCGACTGCCACCATCTCAACCTGCGTATTATCAACTGAACTCCCGTGGGGGGGAGATCTGTCACTCGTGGAAGACCTGCTTCGTCGTCCAGGAGGCGTGCGTGCCGTCATCGTGCTCGGCGTGCGCTCGCCCGTGCATCATCGCTCGTAACTTCTTCGCTAACGACGTGTCGATCAGCTTCAGTTCCGAGGGGGTCAAGACGTAGGCCTCGAGACCCGACCAGACACGACCCGCAACATTCGCCAGGAACATGCCACGTTTACTTCGCCACGGACCAGCAGAGAACCAGTACTGACGTAAATTGCACCATCCGGTCGCTCCTGTCCTTATACGTGCACGGATATCTCTCTGGTTGCTGCCGAATTCGTGAATGAACCCTCCACAATGGATCAGGTTGGCCATGGGGCGTCCTGACATCCTGCTTTCCGCTTCTTTCGGGCCCTTGACAGTCGCCAGATGTACCGTAGTTTCCTGTTTATCAACGCGCTGGGCATATCCTCCCTCCTCTAGATTCCGATGAAGGATGCAATTGCCCAGGTGGTCAAGCTGCAAAGCCTCCTGGGCCGTGCCTGAGGGGGCGACGATGATCCTAATCAAGTCGTCAATGAACCCCCCAAAGGCAGCGTCGAAGTCAGCTGACGCCGACCGTTCTAAACCGTTCTCGTTCTCCTGTCCCGAGGAGCACAGGAGGTCATCACATATGATCGTGTTGGGCCCCCTCTGCCACGCCGAAACCAACGGTAAAAAAAGAATCCATAAACAGTTCGGGCTCATTCGAGTCCCCCATGCGGCCTCCCGAGGCGGGGTGGAGTGCTGCATCGCCGTCGCGTGCCTGAGAGCCCATGATGCCCGTGCTGCGGTGATGCGTCGGCAACTCGTCGAAATACTAATCAACCCCCTATTCCTGAGCGCGTGCAACAGACGTTCGTGATGTCCCGTGCCGAAGGCGTTGGGCATGTCACGCGGCTTGACGAGATAATCGTGCCTACATCGTCTGGGTTTCCACAGGACTATCTTGATTATGCTCATGAGCCCCTCCCTCCTCCTGCGCGCGACACCTCCGCATGCCCATGGGGGGGTCAAGCCGACCGCCGTGATCAACAAGTCCTACGCGCAGAAGCGCCCTCCACCAGCGTCAGAGGCAGCGCGGCAACCTCAGGCGCTTGGTGATGTCAGCCACCGTGTGTCCCGTCGGCGTCTTGCCAGGCTTTCCAATGGCGATTGCGCGGCTGCCTCGCGCGCTGGGGGGGGGGGGAGTTCGCGCGGCCGCGCGCGCGCCAACAACTGCGCGAACATGCCAAGACCCACGCGCGCGTGCTCGTCATCGACGACGAAGGCCCTCCAACCCCTGGGCGAAAGCTCGACCGCCTCGAAATCAAGCAAGCCGGGGTCACGGCGCCTCCATGTGGAACCCAATCCCTCTCTGGAAGTCCCTGGGCGAAACAATAAAGCAAGAACAAGCAGCAGTTTGGTAATCTCGACGGGCCAGGACCACGGTGGAGCGCACCGCCTGCGCGTGCTGCGCAGGGTGCGTGTCTCGACGTGCTCCAAATCCTGTCCTGCAAGCTCGACATCCCCCACCGTGGGCAGGGGAAGGCGGGGGCCGTGCGCGGGAAGTTCCTCGGGAGGGGTCTCTATGGGCTCCTGGGCGGCCCCCGAAGACATGAACTGGCTCATATGGGCGCCCGCGGCTCCCAGCCCCCCCCCCCCCCCCACGCCGCAGGCACGCGCGTTGTCTGCCTGAAATCGGCCATGTTCGGGCGGCGGCGCATCGGGAGGGCCAGATAGCAGCGCTTCCGTGGGCCCATCTGCGTTCCCGCCGGTAGTCTCGTAAGGTGGCCCACCCTGGCCTGCTCCCGAACCTCCCGCGCCCCCCTGATCTCCTGTTCGAGCGACTCCTTTCTCCACCTCTCATGCCACCTCTTGTGCGATCGGATTTGGCAATCGAATCGTCGGAGTTCGTCGCTGGAAACCTCGAAGCCTAAGTCGCGGTATTCGGCTCGTTGTCGAAGTAACCTCCTCCTCTCCTCATTGGCCTCCTTCAGCCGCTCGGGCACGCCGTGATTAATGGAAAAGACATCCGTCGCCGCCTCTCGGATCGCGTACGCGATGACCCCTGCGTGTCTAGTGGGCTCCCCGTCCTGAGTGAAGGCTCGACATAGCGTTCCCCTCTCCGTCCACAACTTACTCATCTTACTCATAAGCCCCTCGCGTCGGTACCCCGTCTGCAGTTCTGCTGCCAACGCCCCCCCCCCCCCCCCAGTCCCACGTGCATCCCTGTCTCTGCTCCCTGGGCGAGGGTGCAGGTATGCGGATCTTCAGAAACACGGGGATGTGGTCTAGCATGTGTGGGAGTGCCTGTAGTCGTTTCTGGGAGTGCCAACACATGCACATACGCACGTCCGTGTGAAGCAGCGCCCTCGGTCCCAGGAAATAGGCAATCCTGCTGCGGGCACCCTTGATGCCGTAATAACTGGGTCGGAGATTGTAGCGTGTGTTTCAGAAGGGCATGTGGCTTTCCTCGAACTTCTTGCGAACGAACGTGGCCATCTCATCCTCCTCCCCCGCCTGGCAAGGTCCCACCGTGTCATCGCTAACGTTCTGCTTTCCCTTCCTCCCCATCCGTACGTTCATAGCTGCGAACACGATGGGTACAATACGGGCGGGCGCACTGTCCACTTCACGCTGTATCCATTCGGTGAGTTGCCGACAGGTGGCCCGCCAGCTGGGTAACTTGCGGGCAGTGCTGACACGGAGGGGATAATATCCAATAGTCAGTCGGAGACGCTGCGGCCCCCGTTCGAGGTCAGGGCTCCCTCCACGCCCCTGGAGGTGAGGAGGTGGGTGGGTAATGCGATTAATGTGGCGCGTCTGATACTTTTTGGTGGAGACGGCGATGGATACTCCCGCCGATGCGTTCGCGTTGGACCCTCGTCCCCATCCCCAGCGTATCCAATGAAACTCGGGCGTGTGTTCATACTGATGAGGCTGTTTCTGTCGCATCCGAATCTTCGTGCCAGGGGTAAATATGGCAGTGGCCCCCGAGAACTTCATGCCGATACTCTCCGTCCGTCCGATACGTACCAGTGTAAACGGGTTGTACCCTGTGAACGAGGCCGTCGTCATCCACGCCAATGACGGAGATAATGATGATCCGTTGGTCCCCGTCCCCGTAATCCCCGTACCCCATGTCCCCCTCGTACCTCCTTCGCCTGTGCTCGGGTGGCTGCTGCTGCTGCTGCTGCTGTTTCCTCCTCCTCCTCCTCCTCCTCCTCCTCCTCCTCCTCCTCCTCCTCCTCCTCCTCCTGTCTCGTCTAGACACGCCGCTGCCGCTGCGCCGCCGCCCTCGCGGAGCGCGGCGCCGCCGCCAGCAGCGCGGCGACCCAGGGGTCGTCCCTGCCGCGATCCTGGCAGATCGCGCGACAGGGAGGCCATGGGAATCGGAGGCCGCGGGTTGCCGCAGGCCTGAGCAGTCCGTGGCCTTGAGGAGGAGGAGGAGGAGAAGCAGGAGGAAGAGGAGGAGGAGGAGGAGGAGGAGGAGGACGAGGAGGAGGAGGGCGCCATCGACAGGGAAGGTGAAGGCCACGAGGTCCGCCGGCTCGACGCCCGCGTCGCCCGCGCCTGCCCCCTCACTCTTATCCGTAATTGCGGGGCGCTACGTATACATGCGGCAACGGGCCAGAACATGGTGAATCGTCGGGACACCCCCCCGAGCTGCAACGTGCGGCAATGGGCCGGCATGTGGCGAATCGTCTGGTTACCCCCCGCAGTGGGCGGCGACGGGCAGCAACTGGCCGGAATGTGGCGAATCCTCGGGACACCCTCACAGGCGGTAACGGCTGGCAACGAGCGGCAACGGGCCACAACGTCGCGACTCCCCGGGACACCCCCAAAGGCGGCAACGGGGCGGCAACCAGCTGGAACGTGGCGGATCTTCGGGACATCCAACCAACTCCTCAGAAACAACTCCTCAGAAACGCAGATAAAAAAACCCTGCGCTGTTTGGGGAACACGCGCCTGCACAGACCCCGGAACAATGCACTACATAGGAGAGCCCCATGTGGAGGCCGGGAGCCAGCAGGCGCGCTGCTCAGAGCTCGTCGTGATGCTTCAGGGCGAACTCGCACAGCTCCATGGCGTGGAGGGGGCTCCTGGAGAAGGAGAAGGACCCTCCTCCTCCTCCTCCTCCTCCTCCTCCTCCTCCTCCTCCTCCTCCTCCTCCTCTTCACTCCTCCCCCTTCTCGCTCCTCCTGTTCCTCCTTATCCCTACTCCCCCTCGCTTCTCCTCCTACACCTCAGACCTCGTCAATCCTCCTCGATCCTCCTCCTCCTCCTCGTCCTCCTCCTCCTCCTCCTCCTCGTCCTCCTCCTCCTCCTCCTCCTCCTCCTCCTCCTCCTCCTCCCCTTCTTACCACTCTTCCTCTGCGCTCCTCCTCACTACTTACTCCTCGTCCTCCCTCTCTGCGTGCGCCGAATGAGGGAGGGCCAGGAAGGCGGGGTTGACGCATCGTGGCCCGAGGCACGTGCGCGGACGATGGGGTGGGGGGGGAAGGCGACACGTTGAAAGAAAAGGGAGGAACCATGGCATCGGACAGGACATCCACCCACCTCTAGCCCCCACCCCCGTCGTTGACGCCCCCGATTCGTCCTCCCCTTCACTCCCATCCCCCCTTCCCCGAATACAAAAACCTCCTCCTGTTCCTCCTCCTCCTCCTCCTCCTCCTCCTCCTCCTCCTCATACCGTTCCCTCTCCTCCTCTCCTCTCTCCTCCAACTCCTCGTGCTCCTCCTCCTGCTGCTCCTCCTGCTCCACCTGCTCCTGCTCCTGCTCCTGCTCCTGCTCCTGCTCCTGCTCCTGCTCCTCCTCCTCCTCCTCCTCCTCCTCCTCCTCCTCCCCGTCGTCACTCTTCCTCACTCCTCCCCCTTCTCCTCCCTCTCGTATTTTTCGCGGATATCCAGAATCTCTGCCGTGAAGAATTGAAGAGCAGGAGAGAGCGAAACGATACGTCATGAGACCCGACGTCAGAGAAAAGCGCGGAGACGCCAAGATAGAACACGTGCCTAGAATTTCCACGATCGCACGCAGTTGAACGTGCATCGACCTCGGTGTGCAGAACCCCGTGTGTCCTGTGTCAAGCAATCTGCCGTTTTGTGAGGGCGAGACGCAACCAGACCCATCAGCACACACACACACACACACACACATTCACATTCACATTCACACGCACCGAACAGGAAGAGGCAGATTATGTATGGCGTGGGTGATGGCCCCTAACGCGGAGGAGCACAACTGAAGCCGCGAGCCTCCCCAACATGCTCCTTATCTCATGTTTCTCCTCCTTCTGATCCTATATCTCCTCCTGCTGGATTGGCCCAGGCCTCACGCCCTGGAAGGCTCTGGAAAGATCCCGAAGGAGGTCATGAGAGACCGTTGCGCCGTCTCTATTGGGCTGTTGTTTCCCAGACGGGGGTGCCAGTTGCACACTCCTCTGCCCATGCGTCCCGCCAGAAGCCCAGCTCAGTGGCGGCAGTGCTGCCCAAGCGCCGTGCCAGGGGCTCGCGTGTGGCTTCTGCACTGGAAGGCCAGAGAAAGCAGTTGCTGGCATCACTGGGCCCTCTTCGGGTGTGCCGCGTGAACCTGTCGGGGGCCAACGACCAACACGGTTGGACAACGAGCCGTAGCGCACACTCTTGGGCCAGGACATGTCCCCAGGACCTTTCCCACCCGAGGAGGAGGAGGAGGAGGAGGAGGAGGAGGAGGAGGAGGAGGAGAAGGACGAGCAGGAGGAGGAGGAGGAGGAGGAGGAGAAGGAGGAGGAGGAGACGACCCCCGGAGGCCCTCCCCGAGGCCCCCTGGAGACACCCAGGGCACGGCGGCGGGCCCTGGTGGTTTGTCACAGTGGAGCTTGGCGTGCTGGACTCTCAGAGCGGCTCTTGGCCTTAGGTCGGGCCTGTCCCCTTACGGGTGGATTTTGGACGAAAAATAAAAAATACCCCCCAAATGCTCCCAAATGGTCAAACCATACTTAAAGAATAGTCCCCAGACTAGTTTTCGATTATTTTTGAATATTCCTCCTGGAGAGGGACGAGCCCGACTTACTCTTGACCCTGACAAGTCGGGTACCTCATGCCCTTCGGCCACGAGACGGCCAACTGTCGCCCCAAGCCGCCCCAGAAGGCCCCCGAGGCGCCCCAAGAGGGCTCCAAGGTCCCCCGGGGAGGACCAGCAGAGGCAACTGTCACTGATCACCCTGATAGAACGACAGAAACTGCATGAAGATACACTTTGGCCCGTCCGCGCGGATCCCTTGCATCTGCTCCGGATCCTCCCTCCCTGGCACGCCAGGGGCGACGCCGGAGGCGCCGCCAGGGGGTGCCAGCGCCGATCCGAGAAGTCCGCGCGGAGCTCCGACTGTTGTGGTTCATGCAGCTGTTTCGTCGCCCTGTGGTGTTCGGAGGACTCTCGCGCTCGCGTCTCCGTCTTCTTGGCGTCGAGGACGTCAAGGACCAAGGGCGAGCTAACGGCGATGTTGCTTAACGGTAATGTTGGGAACCGGTGTAAGAGATCACGAGCCACACGTTCCTACATTCCAATCAGCGAATGGATCGAGCCAACGCGACACAGCTAAATGAAGGAAAGCGCGAGCCACGCGTTCCCATGCTACCGAAACCTACATCGCTGTTGCCTACATCGCCGTTAGCCCGTCTACGGAAACGGTCTTTTTGGCGTCGAGGGCGTCCAGATCGGCTCAGGCCCCCAAGGACCGGCCCCCGAGGGCGAAATTTACCAGAGAGGTCCCCAACTCAAGAGAGCTCCGAGGCCGTCCCAGGAGGGCCAGCCCAGAAGCCAGAGGCCCCAGAGGAGTTCGAAAGGGCCCCCCCCCAGGCAGCCCTAGAGGATTCCCCAAGACGGCCCAAGGCGAGCTCCTAGACGGTCCCAGGAGGGCCAGACAAAAAGCCAGAGGCCCAAGAAGAGTTCGAAATGCCCCCCCCCCCCCCCCCCCCCCCCCCCCAGGGCAGCCCCAGAGGGGCACTTCCCCGCGTTCTCCCCAGCGGTTTCCCAAACGATCCCCGAGCTCCCCTAGCGGTTTCCCAAACGACTGGGGGAACACTGTTCACCAAAGGGTCCGCGCTTTCGCTGGACACTTCGCGCCGCACGGGCTTTTCCCGAACGCAGGGTGGGCGATGGCTCGCCGTAATTAGGCGTCTTCGATCATACTGCACCTCCCGATACTCCCGATCATGCTCATCGCGCTCCACCTGGGATGTGGCGTGAGAGCGGGGGTGCCCTGGAGGGTGTGTACTTGTCCCTTCCCTGAACTCCTGATCTTGCGCTGGATCTGCTTCTTCTCGTGAAGCGTTTCCGGATCCTCTCCGATCCCCACGAACTGCACAACTACGATCCTCCCCCCCTACCACCCCTCCGTCCTCAATTCATGGTTCTGGTGAGTTAGGGGCGGCTAGGCCCACGCCACAAAGCTCGGGAGCGGCAAAGAGGGGGGCGTACAAGAAGGGGGGGTGCAAATCATGGCCGGCGGCATGTGCGCGGCCCAAGGGAGGGGCCAGGAACGTAATGAAACAAGAAGAGGCGCCCTGAAATCTGGGGAAAGATCATGGCCTCCGCCATGATATCCACCCTCCCTAGTCATCACCCCCCTCTTTGCCGCCCCCGAAAAGCCACCAGAAGCAATCCTCGAGGGAGCCGGGGAGGAGAGCGAGGGCAGAGGGCCGGCAGCCGTGGCCGATCCCAGGGATCGGCTCCTGCGGGGGAATAGCGTCGGTCGAGGCTTTCTTTAGCCTCTCGTAGATGGCGTTCTGGAGCGCTCCGGTGCCCCTGCCTGTGACCTCCGCGAGCTTCTGCGCCATGGTCTCCGCAGTCTCCTTGTGCTTCTCGAAGGAGTCGTAGCCGCCGATGATGCCCTCCGCCTCCTCGAACGCCTCCAAGCATGCCTGGCCGTGCCTGTGCGCGTTCACGAACGACCGCGCGGTCTTCACCTGCGCGTCCTCGGCGTGGATGCCAGCGGCCACTGCCACAGCGAGGGCAAAGGTGAGAAGGCGTGCCCCCATGGCTCGGGGGCGACGATAGGGGCGAATAGCCCAGGGGCGGGCGTTACACGTATTCGCCCGGGAGCCTTGTCAAAGACATAGATCATCGGCGCCCCTGGATACATGTGTTGCTCTCCCCTGGGCAGTTCGCCCCTATCGTCGCCTCTGAATGGCGGCGGCCGAGGGGCGGGGGTGCGGCCCGGCGGGCCGCTGGTAGGGCGGAAAAAAGGTCGACCCCGGGCCAAGCAGAGCTGCGCGAGGGGGCTCGCTGGGCGAGCAGGGGCGGCGCACACGCGGGGCAGGCTTTCGGCGCAGGGCCAGCCCCGCGTTCGCGCGGTGGGGGACTCTCGCCGCCTCCTCCCCCTCCTCCTCCTCCTCCTCCTCCTCCTCCTCCTCCTCCTCCCTCCTCCTCCTCCTCCTCCTCCTCCTCCTCCTCCTCCTCCTCCTCCTCCTCCTCCTCCTCCTCCTCCTCCTCCTCCTCCTCCTCCTCCTCCTCCTCCTCCTCCTCCTCCTCCTCCTCCTCTCCTCCTCCTCCTCCTCCTCCTCCTCCTCCTCCTGCGTCCTTCTCCTCCTCCTCCTCCTGCTTCCTTATTCCTTACTCCTTACTCCTTACTCCTGACTCCTTACTACTTACTACTTCCTCCTCCTCCTTCTCTTCGAATCGCCTCAGCTTCCTCCGCCGTCCTGCCCCACTCCTTCTCCTCATAGCTCAAGCCACACGAGACACTCCCGAAGCCCCGCTGCCGCCGCTGTCCGACCCCTTCACCTCCCCCTCACGCTCCTCCTCTTCCTCCTCCTCCTCCTCTTCCTCCTCTTCCTCCTCCTCCTCTTCCTCCTCCTCCTCCTCTTCCTCCTCCTCCTCCTCTTCCTCCTCCTCCTCCTCTTCCTCCTCCTCCTCCTCCTCCTCCTCTTCCTCCGGCCGTCGCCATTGGAGGCCTTTCAGATGGGGCCGCAGCAGCTTGGGGTCGGCAGATCGCGCCGCACCGCAATCGCATCGCCACTGCCTTGGCGACGCCAGCGATGCATCGGCGTGGAGAAAACCGGGCTCCGAATCGAGCCGCACCGCCGTTGCATCGGCGATGCGCCGCGATGCTCCGCTCCCATCCGCGCGGGCCACACTTCGGCCGCCCAGCTGGGCTCCCTCCGTCGCCACGCGGCCCAGGTCGAGCGAGTGAGCGAAGGGCAAGCAAACGGGGAGCCGAGCCTTGACTGCCGTGGCTGCCTGCGCGCAGCCTGGGCTCGGTGACGGCAGCGTGGCGACAGGCGGCCCCTGCGCCCTGCCCAGAGGAGCAGCGCCTGCTTGACCGCGGTCCCCACCCGATCGGACTTGTGGCCGTGGGCCGGCGGGCGACAGGAGGCGCTCAGCGGCCCCAGCAAGGCGTGGCGCTGCCTCTGCGCCAACGGCCCCTGCACCGAGAGCCGAGTGCGGTGGACCTGGCGCAAGCACTGGGGAAAGAAGTGGACGCTGCCGGCTGCCATGGCCAACACAACTTGCTGCGGTCTTGGCGGTGATCGAGTCCCACTCCCAGTCCAGTCAACCCTTCGGCACGTCTGTCTCGCCTCTGTCGCCGTCCGGGGTAGGTGTCATTTGGGGTTGCAAGTGCGAGCAGGTGGGTGGCATGCCGTCTTTGCCTGAACGGGGTTATTCTCTCGGCGCGAATAGCTGGACTCCCAGCGTCGCGCTCGCTCAGAAAGCATGTTTGAACCAGGCCTGGTCTACGACCAACCCCCAATGGCCCCCAGCGTGTGGGCCACATCTATCTCTGCGTTCGGCGTTCGTTTTAGCCCCTGCCAGAAGCCAAATCAGGAGGCGCCTCGCTCGTTGTGCCGCGGCTTGCTGGAGCCCGTGCATGTCCGAGGGCCCCTTGGGGACGCAAGAGTGCGAACCTGTCTGCGTGACTGCCCGTTGCTGTTTCCTTCGTTCTGGCCACTGTGGCCGCCTCGTAATGTTGCATCGGGGGGGCCGCAGAGCACAACAAAAAACCGCCAAAGGGTGTGTGTGCCTAAGCCTCCTGGAAGCCCCAGGATTCCAGCACATGTATGCGTCGAAAATGCAGCAAATGTTAGCAAGCGTGAGTCCTGAAGTAACAGTGAGTTGTTGCACTGTGGATGCGAAGGCTACGTGGTGTAAGCTGTGCGGTGCAAGTCATGTGGTGCAAGCTACGTGGTGCAATCTACGAGGTGCACGGTATGTTGACAAACTATGTGGTGCAAGCGATGTGCTCTAAACTATGTGGTGAGGCGGCAACGAAGCGGAACGGGCGGGACGTAACGAATCCCCGGCACAGCCACACAGCGCACGAGGCGGCAACGAGGCGACACGGGCGGCAACGTAACGAATCCTCGGCTCACCCCCACAGGCGGCAACAAACGGCACCGTGGCGAATCCTCGGCATACCCAGAACGCACGAGGCGGCACGACGCGGCAACGGGCGGCAGCGTGGCGAATCCCCTTCATGCCCCTACGGCGGCAACGGGCGGCATCGTGGCGAGACCTCGGCATGCCCACTCGAGGCACGAGGCGGCAACGACGCGGCAGGGAGTTGGCAACGAGGCGGCAGGCGGCGGCAGCAGGCGGCCACGTGGCGGAGCCTCGGCATGCCGTCACGCGGGCGGCAGCGGGGCGAAGCCTCGGCATACCCCCCACAGGCGGCAGAGGGCGGCAGCCCTGCGAGTCCTCGGCGTACCCATCCGGTTCCTCGGTAACCCATGTGAGAACCCCAGAGTGCACGCCGTTCCGGGACTGCCCACGTACACACATCTACACATACCTCGATGGACCTCGCAAGGGCGGCAGGCGGCAGCGAGGCGGCAACGGGCGGCAACGCGGCGAAGCCTCGGTGGGCCCGCCAGGCGCGGGGGGCGGCAACGGGTCCCGCGGCAACGGGCAGCCACGTGGCGAGACCTCGGCGGACCCCCTTCGCGCGGTGGGCGAGCAAGAAGGGCGGCAGCGGGAGGCAGAGCGGCGAAACCTCGGCGGACGCCCAGAGCGCGGTGGGCGGCAGCGAGGCGGCAGCGGGCGGCACCGCGGCGAAGCCTCAACGGACCCCGCAGGGGCGGTGGGCAGCCACGCGGCGGCCAACGGGCGGCAACGCGGCGACCCCTCGGCGGGCCCTCCAAGCGCGGTGGGCGGCAACGAGCCGGCAGCGGGCGGCCACGCGGCGAAGCCTCGGCGGCCCCGTCCCAGTTGCATCTGACCGAAGCGAAGACCCCTACGTGCAAGCACTGCTCGAGGAAGAACGTGGGCTGGGGGCTGGCAAAATAGCCACCCTGGAGCGGTGGAAGTGCGTCGGCCTCCTGGTCGCTCCAGGCTGCCCCGACACTCGCAAACCAGCGCCTCCAATCGGCCGAACGGGGCCTCGACGGCCCAAGACGGCCGGAGATGGCGAGCATGGAACATGGAGCTCCATAGACTGTTGGCGGCCTGTTGGGGCCTTTCTAGGGTCTCCTTGGGACTCCTGGGTCTTCGTTGGGGCCAGTTGGGAGCCTGCTGGCGGTCTCGGGGGCCATCTTGAGGCGGAGGGCTCGACATGTTAATGTGTGCTCCCCCTCTTGGGGCCCATGCTGCTCCCAACATGCCTCAAAGTCGCTTGAAGACGGCGCCACATAACCCCCGGCATTGCCCAAGAAAGCCCCGAGGCGGCGCCATCAGGCCCCAACGAGATGCCGCCCAGCTCCCCAGGGATGGCCCAACACGTCTCCAAGATGCCTCCCAAAGGCACCATGATTGCCCCATTATTGCAGGAGCTCGACTACAAAAAACCTTCCACAAGAAACCCAACCCTTAGACCGCAGGACGTCCATTGATTCATGGTGTGGGAATATTACACTTCCCGTCGCAAAACCATCGTAGCCCAAGAAGCCCAGGGCACCCTGGAGGCAAGCAAAGAGTCTCTTGGCATGGGCTTCCGCTGTCCTTCCCAAGATGGTCCGACGGTGCCCCCAGAGCTTTGTGGGCCCCGGAAACGGCAGGGCCGTTTTTTCACCGTTTCCCCAAAATTTCCGTTGAAAATGGAAACGGCAAAACAAACGGCGACCGAAAACGGCAAAAAAACGGCTCCAGGATTGGAACCGGAGCCGGAACCGGTCAAAAAACGGCGACGGGACCGGTAAAAAAACGGTGTCGGAACCGGCAAAAAAACGGCAAAACGGAACCGGTAAAAAAACGTCCCTGTCGTTTCCAGGGCCCACTGAGCCCCAGAGGCCCCACATGTTGCCTCAGACCACCTCAGCACTGCTGGCCCATACAGCCGCAGCAACTGCTCCGAAGGCGGGGCCGCCGGCGGCCGAGGGCGCTCGGCCCTTTCGACTCGGCCCGACGCGGCGCCGCGGCGTGGGCCCGTGAGAGAGCAACGCTTTCCCGCGCTGGCGACAAGCTAGGCATCGCTCGGACGTCCATTCCCTGTGTGTTTTTTTCGGTTTTGTGCATGGCTTTTTCGCCAAATGATGAAGGATGCTCCTCGATGGTCCTCGCCGAAGGAACAATGCACACGTCCGAGCGATGCCAAGCCAGCACCGGCCGGACAAAGGCAGCGGGGACGACGAGGTAATCAGAGGGGATGCAGGCCTGGACCCTCCGAGGGGGCGCGAGCCGCGCGACCGGCATGGTGGAGGCCGCGGGGGAGTTGTGCCCGTGCAGGAGATGCTCGGCCGAGGGCCGGCTCACGACGGCACGACTGCGTCAGGCGGCGCCCGCGCATGCTTGGTTCGAAACCTCCGAAAGAGCGTGTTCTACCGCTGCTGGCGGAAAACCGGGGGGGGTCACTACCGGTTCGAACCCCTTCCCCCCCCCCCCCTCCGGAAAACCGGAGGGGGTCACTACCGGTTCGAACCCCTGCCCCCCTCCCCAGTTCATCATGAAAAGGGGGGGGCTCACTACCGGTTCGAACCCCCCCCCCTCGAACTCGAAAACCGAGGGGAAACCTCCAGAAGTGCCTCCCTGGGGCGCAACTCCTGTGGCTCCCCCGCGCCTCAGCGCTTATACACGCGGCTGCACAGCCCCAAGACGGCCCCCAGACTGC